AAAATAATAAAAAACAATTATGAGGACTAGACATTATGAAGTGTCTGGCTGCGCGGCGTATCGTAATTCTCCCGAGTTTGTTTGAATACAATGGATTTACGGAGTCAGTCCAGGTCATGCTGTTTACTTTCAATATGTTGAAACTCGAGATTTTAATTACATTTTATATGAAGTGTGAAGTTTGACAAAAGCCGAGGAAAATAATGGTGCCTATTGTGTGCGCTCTGAACTTTTGGCACCTGAGTGAACTTTTTATCATTAGTGTAGTTATTATACCACAAATATTTAGACAGTGTGCAATTATCTGTACTAGACATATCATTTTTGTTATGTATTTTTTGTTTACTTTCTGGCCTAAACCCCTTTTTTTCTAAGTATTCGAGGCGATTTAGTCAAAACATATATTGTAAAATCAGCTCTTGGGGTGAAAATAAGTCTGCTGTGGTCTGTAACTAATTATAAAGTGTGTTATTACCCAAGAATCAGGAAGTGCGCTGTTTGCATGTTAGTTATTTTTGGTATTACGGTGACAGAAAAGCCTACGATGGTCTACAAGTTGGGAAAAAGCACTTATAAACTCATTGAGGTGGTACTGGCTATTGTATAAAGGTATTGTCGAGTAATGGCAAAGTGCACAATTAGCATGCTAGTTGCTGTTAGAATTGTCTCATAAACTTATCGTGGTGAGTAATTAGGATGCTCAGAATCCATAGGTTAAGTGAAGAATAGCTTTGGACCACTGTAAACATTTTTAAACCAGTAAAAATCATTTACACTAGCTCTAAAATGTAGTTTAAAGTATATTGTGTGTAACATTACCACTTCAGCTGAGCTCTGTGTGTGATCGTGATACATAAGTTGGTGCATTAATTAAATCAAATCAGTATTAAAATCAAATCATGGTACTGTTCTTCTGTTACAAGTGTAGATATGACCTGGACCATAGTTCTCCAGTATTTTATCGGGCAATGTTATGAAAGTATCTATAGTCTGTTCTGTTTGAGGGGACACACCATATGCATTTTTGTTCAATTTTATTGTATTTATTTTGTGGTCAGTTTGGTCTCTTAGCATATAAACTTTCATGCTTTTTGTTTGTTTGTTTGTTTTTTTTATTTTTATTTTTTTTAATAAATATATCCAGGTCCAAGTCTGTTTTTTTTTGTTTTTTTTTAACTCAAAACCATAAATAAAGAAAGAAGCAAAATTAGAATTTGTAGATACATTTTCAGTGAAACTGTGTTTACTCATATACTAAATAAGATCCAAAATGTCCCCTGTGTGCTATGCTTTGTATCTGTCAACAAAAGGAGGAAGGAATTTTTGTACACAAAATGCCTTATTTTTATTTTATTTTTTTATAGATATATAAAAACTAAATCATCATGATAAATGGTCACATTTTTTTACAGCAGTTTTCCACCTTCAAGGCTCAAAGCCAAAGAATCACTCACTCAGTGGTGGAGTTAGCAATCTGGGGGCCCTAGGCAAACTTGACTTTGGGGCCCTCACTATAATGCACTGTTTTTTTGTTTTTTTTTTATTGTCTGTTTTTCCCATTGTTCATGAGACACACACATCTTTATTTGAATTATGGATAATTGAAAACTTGTGTTATTAGTCAGGTCGCCTACTAGATAACCAGAACTGAAAGTAGTTTTATTTTTTTCTAGTACATTTACATTTTTGTTTACATCCATTACATGATTATGATTATGTTCAAATCAGGGTCAAGCGGACTTGTCCATTCTAACGTGAAAGGGGGAAATGCTTTGATAGTTAAAATAAATTTGACAATCAGACACTATTTTAATGGTGTTTTCTTGTTTAAAAGCAAAACTACTCTCATTTAATGTCATATTGAGAGAAAATCTAATTGCTCTGAGGTCTCGGCCATTAGTGGCACTGAGGGCGATTGTTTGGGGGCCCCTCCAGGTTCCCTAAGCAGCCGTCTAATTTTGCCTAATCACACATAAATAAAATTAGAAATAAATTATCCAAAGTGATCGCAATTATATACAAATATAGACATATCCTAGATAAAAACAGTCTTTTTATTCTATACAACTCACTGGTAATGCCCCACATAACCTACTGTATTGAGATTTGGGGCAATACATATAAGACTAATACAAATCCAGTCTTTACCTTGCAAAAAAAGGCAATAAGAGTCATCACATTATCAACTTATAATGAACCAACCAATGTGTTATTTATAAACCTTCAAACTCTGAAATGTTATGATTTATTCGACCTTTATACTCTGAAAATCATGTTCAAAATCCGAAAGAGCCAATAGGAGAAAATCAGAACAAACTTTATGAAATTTTGTGTATTTGTTAAAGGGGTGGAGCTCTGGAACAACTGTACAGAAAACCTAAAATTGTGCACCAGTCTCTTTCACTTTATAAAGAAGTTTAAATGTTTAACTCTGGACAGATACATGAAATATGATACTTAGTTTGCGCTGTAGTACTTTGTTGTTCTGTTTCTGATTTGTTTGTTTCCTCTCGCTGTATTTATGAAGATGAACTCGTGTCAAGGTGACGCTCTGACAAAGGAATAAAGGGTAAAGGCAGAATAAGCTTAAGCTTCAGCCTGCACCTTTTCGGTCTGTGTATGTTAAATATGACTGTCTGTGAAATAATGTCAAAATATACCTGTGACCGAAATAAATAAATAAATGTAAATGTAAATGTAATGGTAGCGCCGCCTCTGCACTCACAGACATTGGGGACTAGGTGGGATTCAAACCGCCAACCTTCGGATTAATGGACAAATGCTCTTCCAACTCGTATTTTGTAATGCATTTTCCATCTTAAGTTTATGTGTGTAAACTACAGCAGAAGTTTCAAATTGATATCTCAACATTTAAGACAATTTTTTTTTTCTATTCGTCAACTTCTTGGCTTAATTACTTCCAAACTTATTGTCCTAAAACAGAGCTACAATTTTCTCCTCTCGAAACAAAACATCCTGCATTTTTCAGTGCGCCCTCAACAAACACGTTCTGAAATTCATGGGATTCTAGTATTAGTTCAGCAGTTCATTTTTCAGTCTTCTCTCAAATGTTTTAGCTGTTTAAAATGTGCAATTTGAACAGAATCCTACTATTAAAGCATGAATTGCAAATCCGACGGCGACTCCGAGGCTTGTCAGAAAATTCAAAATTGGATATTCTTTTTTTTTTTTTTTTTGCACAATGGTTCAGCTCTTTCCCAATCTGCCGTTTTCCAGAAAATACCACCGCAGGCCGTGGACATTGTTAGTACAGCCCTATTGTTTACATGCTGGATCCTAATAAGCTGGCTTGTTACGATCTTCTATATTATCGTGCTACCCCCAGAACAGTAGTTTTCTGTCCAGGAGCAGCTTTCTGTCAAAAACAAAAAAACAGGTTTGAACAAATTAGCCGGGACTATAACAAGCGCGGCGGCGGTCTACCTCTGCACCGGTCTAATGTGAGCCACCCCAGAGGTAATTAGAGGGATCTGTCCAGGAGAAGGTCCAGAGGAGCGATGTGAAAAGTCCTGTATCCTTCCTTAATACGCTACATTAATGCATGTGGGGCAGCGATATTTCTGTGCAAGAACAGCGTTTGGACGACTGTATCCAGAACGTTGCACAACTTGCCCGTGGAAGTAAAGGAAAATAAGCACGATAAAGACAGACGGGGACCTCATTAAAATATATACACATATATATAAATTAATAAATAAGCAAAAAATAAATGCTGATTGGATTCCTTATGATGTTCCCTTTCCAGTGATACCGTGATTTTTGGCGAGTAGTTGCAGAGTAAAAGTAATTTGTAATTCGGCGACCATGTAAAAAAGTGAAAAAAATGAAATTGTGATATCTCGTAAACTGTTGTGGAAGCTTTTTTGGCTGTTTCTTCTTCAATCTGTTGCCTGGTGTCTTTATCATGTCCTTCTGTCTCAGGTCAACTGTCGTCCTAAATGCTTCAACAACAACAAGTGCCAGTAATTTCCAACTTCATGCAGGACTAACTGAGGTGACTTTTAAGATCACTGAACATCAGTCACCAGGACTAAACCAGGACTAAATCAAGTCTAAATCAGGACGAAACCAGGACTAAACCAGGACTAAAAACCATGTCTAAATCAGGTCTAAACGACGACTAAACCATTTCTAAACCATGTCTAAATCAGGTCTAAACCAGGATTATACCAGGACTAAAAACCATGTCTAAATCAGGTCTAAACCAGGACTAAAAACCATGTCTAAATCAGGTCTAAACAAGGACTAAACCATTTCTAAACCATGTCTAAATCAGGTCTAAACCAGGATTATACCAGGACTAAAATTAAAACAGGTCTAAACTAAAAAAACCATGTCTAAATCAGGTCTAAATCAGGTCTAAACCAGGACTAAAAACCATGTCTAAATCAGGTCTAAACAAGGACTAAACCATTTCTAAACCATGTCTAAATCAGGTCTAAACCAGGATTATACCAGGACTAAACCATGTCTAAATCAGGTCTAAATCAGGTCTAAACCAGGACTAAAAACCATGTCTAAATCAGGTCTAAACAAGGACTAAACCATTTCTAAACCATGTCTAAATCAGGTCTAAACCAGGATTATACCAGGACTAAACCATGTCTAAATCAGGTCTAAATCAGGCCTAAATTAGGTCTAAACCAGGACTAAACCAGGACAAGACCAGGACTAATCTTGGACTTGAAATAGAGGGAATGCACGATCAGGTGCCGGCTGTGCTTAGCCCGTGATGCAATTGACACCGGTCCTTTTGCCTGCAGTCACCTGACAGTCTACGCCGGTGCATCTTTGGGCCCGTCCCGACACTCAGTCCTAGTTCAGTCCTGGTTTAGTCCTGGATCAGTCCTGGTTTAGTCCTGGTTTAGTCCGTCTGTCGCGCCTCCCCAGTAGCTCTTTACATCATCTTAACATTTTAACATCTTAACATCATAACCAGCTGTGTCACGCGCACTTTAAGAGTATAACATCATACTCACTTTTGGAGAACCGTGGCGGGTTGTCGTTGACGTCGCTGAGCGTGATGTTCACCGTCGTGGTCCCTGCGAGCCCCCCCAGCTGCCCCCCCATGTCTTTGGCCTGGATCAGGACCTGGTACTCCTCCTTCACCTCGCGGTCCATGTTCGGTAGCGCCGTCTTTATGATGCCTGAAAGACATAAGGACATACAGATAATGAGTACACTGGAGTAACAGCATGATGAGGGGGGTCTACATGTACGTCTACGGAGGAATGTTCAGCTGTTACCATGGTGACACAATGCGGACACAGCCAGATGAGTTTATAGTCTGAAAATTTAAGAAAAAATACAAAATGGATTTAAACAACACAACATATTTTCAGGATCCCGTTTTAGTCCCACTTAGGAGTTTGATTTCCAATAAAAAAAAATAAAAAAATAGGCGAGATGGACTAACTGAAAACAAAAATAAATAAATAAATAAACAGAATCACAAGCTCAATCATAAAGCTTGTAACTGTAATGTTATTAGTGATGTACTTATTTTTTACCAGCACAAATCAGCCTTTTGTATTTCAAGCTAAGTCAGATTGCGTTAAACCTCGTCTCACTTGATTAACGGAGCCTCAGACACACGAGTCCTTCCAGTTAGCATCACACCCCCGGGGGAGACGTCGATGACATCAGCTGCAAAGTATCAATAAAGCAGGAGATATGGCGGCGACACACGGGCAGAGGCAAAAGTAATAAAGCAGCCACAGCGAGGAGCGGGGAGCATAAAACCTGTGACATATACTCAATGCTAAATGCCAAACCTGACGCTGGAAAAGATCCATCCTCAGACAGGTTTCTATCACGGTCCATACATCACGGCGAAGAGAGATCTGCTCTACTCTGGCGTCTTATGAGGACGATATAGGGGGACGATCTAATTCACTTTTATTGTAATGGTTATGTAAGCAATAAACTTTGAAAAGAAGCGAGACAAAACAATTGAAGTTGTCAGTGTTGATAAGGGGAAAAGTGTAGTTTTAAAAATGTAATCAGAAATGTATGGTTAATTAAAGTGATTTTTATGACATTCAAAGACGTGTCAACAATCTGAGAAAACATTCAGTAAAGCACATATTTTGTTTTGAAATGTTGAAGCGCATTTAATCCTGTTTTAGTTGTAATATTTTGTTCTTCACGATTGCTTTTGTTAATGGTCTTGGCTATCGATCATGTGTCTGCACTTATGTCCAAATGAAGACTAAACAATAACTCTCCTTTCTTTTAATTAAAGCCACAGTAAGCAACGTTTCAGCCTAAACAAAATAGACTACAGCTTTTTTGGTTGTGTATTGTATTTTTAGTAGTAGTTTATTCAGTCATTTTGCAGCACTACAAAACAAAACTAACGAAACACAGACTACAACCCCATGGATCACGACCGAAAGGGTTTAGGCTGAATTAAAAAAGTATTTATAATGCCAAACTTGATTAAACAATGACAGAATTCCAAGAAAGAAAAGCAGAGTATGAACATCAAGTTTGCGTTTACAATTTCACTTACGGCTTATTGTATATATAAGAGACAAAATATAAATGAAAACAAACTAAATATAACTTATAATTCATTCATTCCAGAGCTCTATATCTTTTAAAAAAAAAAAAAAAAAACATAACACTTTATACTCTTTTTTAAAAAATGCTTCTATAGTGTTAGACTTTTTTTTTTTCAGGTTGTTCCATAAACTAACCCCTCAAACAGAAATACAATTAATTTTTAAAGATGCCAGTTTTGTTTTCATTTACGATCGCACAAACCAACAATTTTAATTTGCGTTTGTGGATTTATTTCACGGTTTCCAAAGAATATTGCTTTTCTTTTGCATGATATTTTGATGTCGCAGATCTTTAGGCACAAAAACCATTCAGGTTGTCTCTTCCACAGGGGATATTTATTATGAAGCCACACAAAAAAAATGAAACCGGCTACAACAGTCCCCGTTCTCATCCTGTGCGTAGCTGCGGTAAAAAACACACGCTAGTCTAGTTCAAGGCACACGTACGAAAACTAGTGCGGAGCGTTCAAATGCACCTCGTAAAAACAACGTTCAGAATTTAAAACAATAACGTCATAAAAAAAAAAAATAGGGGGTGTCAGTGAACCTCAAAACACATTAACACAATAATCATGTAGAATTGTAAATTAATTAATCAAGTCTCTCACATAGAGACAGTTTGTTTTTGGTAAACCACACTTGTAACTTTGCAGTTTCTTGTGTAGTCTCAATTACTAATCTTTGAAGGTCCTCGCCTGAACACAGAATTGTATCGTCCGCAAAGAGAAAAAATTTAAGTTTTTCAGAAACTAAGTACAAGTCATTTATATATCAAAATAAATAATGTGGGGCCTAGCACTGATCCCTGTGGGAAACTACAAACAATAGTATCACACATGGATCCGTGATGTCCCCGTTGCATATACTGCTTACATACTGAATGCGTTGACAGGCTCAACAGTATCCCGGTTATGGCAGTATTTGGAACACTGTGTCTACATTCGCACTGAGAAACCGGGATAGTCATATCCCTGTGTACATGATCAAATGGAGTATCCCGGTTTCTTGACATAATCTTACACATGCACAAGTGTAAAAATGTACTTAATTTAATTTAATAAACCAGGAAAATACAAATAACCATGAGCTCCTTTAGAAGCTCGGGAGGTTCCTAACCAGCAGTAAGGAGCTATGTATCCCACAATCCACTGTGCAGATCAAACCAAACGTTTCCAAACATTGTACAAGTTACACACTGCAGCATATTTTTTATTAAAATCTTCTGCATAAGTAAACTCAACTTTACAACACTTAAACCAAAACCACATCAGCCCGTTTGATAATAAATTCAGCTTTGCCACATTTGTTTACATTTTACAAAAACAAAACTAAAAACCACATGGCTAATTTGCATAAACTGTTAGCGCTGATAAAAAACAGCTCGCTCTTTGTGCTGCTGATGCGGTTCAGCTTCTGTCAGACGAAAGGACACGACTCAGTGGAATATATGTGATTTTTCTTTGACAGAGGATGTGATGATAATGGTGAGTCTGTTTGTGTATATATTATTGGAGATGGTTCAACTTTTCAGAGATCATACATGTGCAGGTCATATGAGTGCAGATTGTACATGTGCAGGTTTAGCGCAGCTCTTTATTTAACTGTCATTTCACTCATGTATGGTCACAACTTATTTACGTTGGTCACTTTATTTATGTCACTACTGTTGTGATGAAAAGACTGAAAAGTGTTTGTCTTTTGGACGCATGTGCACTCAAATTTATGTTCCAGTAACCGGGACACTGCGTATGCATGCCACAGTATCCCGGTTACTATCGGAATATACCAGATACAGTATCCCAGTTTCTAATAACCGGGATACTGCCATACTCGGGACACTGAAACCAGGATTTTCAAAAAACCCGATCATAACCGTGATACTGAGGTGCATGTAAACACACTCACTGTTAACTGTTAAATAAGACTCTATCCATTTTACAGCTATTCCTCTGATCCAATATTTGTGTAAGAGTATTGTACTGTTACACTCAACGTGACCCCTTGTCCTAATTGAGATTCACAGCCAGCTAAACTCTCTCTTGCATCACTTCCTCCAAGGAACAGGCAGGTGTTGTCTTTGATCCAGGATTTAATGCAAAAAAGTGTGAAACTGTAACAAAATACAAAAAAGGTATTCAGAAAGTTGTAAAATCAACAATGTACATCAAAGTTACATTATATAGACAATTAAATGGCCAATGTTAGCTGAGAAGTAATACACACAACTCAAATAGGCTCCATTACCACTACTGGAACTCAAATCTCAAATAATATCTATAAAATGTCACAAACTTCAACAAATGCTACAAATGTACTTGTCAACACTCAGTTTTAATGTAAACACTTACTCATATTGCCACTCAAAGGGCTGGAAATGAGAGGATGGTTTCAGATCTAATCGCAAAACACATCATGGACCGACTGACATTTTCAAGCTAGTAGTTTTACTTCTTGTCACCTACTGGCTAAATATATCACCAAAATCACAACTAGCGCCCCCCAGCAGGCCGGAAGAACACAACACAAAACAGTTCCAATACAAGTATACTATTCGGAAAGTTCATGGAGAATGTTCCGAAGCGTAGTCAAAAAACGTTGTATTTCCATAGAATCATGCAGGTCACTTGGCACCTATGAAAACTTAATTAACATTTAACAAGAAGAATAAGGGAATGTGTATTGTTAAACACACAAATGTTAACTGTCTATAAAAGTATTGCAAATATTCTGCAAATATTTTTATCACTTAATAAAAATAAAGTATGTTCTTGTTCCCAATCTGCTTTAAGAAATCTTTGCAAGGTCACAGACAAATTCTGCCAGCAATTCTGCACATAAACTCAGAAATGCATGACTAAAATTTGCAAATTCAATGTAAAAATGAAAATTCTAAGTAATACAAAATTCTGACAGACTGCTCCTCCACATTGCCTCGATTTCTTCCTGAAAAGTCACTCTCTCTCTTCTCTATCATCTTTCTCCTCTGTCTCCTCCGTCTCCGTCTCCGTGGGGCCGGGAGAAGGGTCACTGCGCGGACTCCACACACTTGACATTCAACGTGGAGCCGAGCCGACGCCATGGCAACATCCAGAGCAGATCACAGGGACGAGATGAGAGGGGGTTTGTGCTAAAGATTAAACACAGGGTCGAAGAGAGGCTAGAGCGGGCTAACGGGCTAACATGCTAACAGAAAACCCAGCAGTGCCACAGTAAAAGGACGACATTTCAGTCCGGGGAGCTTTTATTATTGTTTGGAGAGAAAAGTTCAGCAAAGAATTCTGATTATTTATGGCCAGTTCCTTCAATCTTGGGCAAATATCTCTGGTATTCTTGAAAAACACTACAAAAAATAGGCTAAAGGTGCATTGTGTAACTTTCCTGGTGGAGGGACCAAGGAGATGTTATTGCTTTGTCTGGAATGTTCCACAGTATATGTTGTATATATTACACCTTTCTATAGCCTGAGTCATCAGCCGGTTTCACTTCAGAGAAACTGTCTGACCTCACAGCGTTGGAATTTGTTCGCTCGATTATAGGCTGGTACTTTTTTTATTTAACCAATCGCTGCTATTTGGTCATGA